ATTAATTGTTAAATATTAATACTTTTCTTTTCATAAAAATTACAGCAACCCAGGACTCAAAACTCTGAATTCAGGGAGAATCCAAAACAATAACCTGTGTTGTGACCTCCTGAGTTGCTGAACTTTCAAACCAGTTGCAAGTGCCAACTTTGTACTGGAGGTGCAATAACACAATCATCCACACAGGCACCAGCTATCAGCAATAAATGCCAATATGGTGACAGCCAGCCTGGTCTGATAGGGAGATAGGGAATGTTTTGTCCAAAGCCTTTGAGCATGTTTAAGTCTACTTCACCTGTGGAAAAAATTCCATGGTGCTGAATTGTGTTTAGTTGCACTGTCTTGCATGTTTGCGATAGGAAATTTTAATTAAATCTGACACATGCAATCAACATCAGATTTATTATTCATAAGGAACCATGATTGATAATCATGAAGAAAAATTTATTTTGTGAATCCCAGAGATCTGGGTAGACATGCATTATTAAAAGTTTTCATTTTCTGCATGACCTTGGTAGTATTTATTACTTGGGTGATGCAATTATTTGTTATGTCAATTACAACATAAAATGTATTGGATAATCAGGTATTCATGTACAAGTATTAGTAACAACCAAAAAGCTAAGTCATGTCTATTTTTTATCTATATAAATAGAGTAGAGTAGCAAGCAATAGGTTAATAATCACCACCACCTTTTTAATATACAAAAAAAAATAACTACAAATATTATTTAATTCTAAGCAAATTTTTATTATTTTTATATGGGGTCAGTTCTATATATCACTCAAGATAGAAAATGGGATATTATAAAACTGTTAATTATGATCATGTTACAAATGGCTAAATTTTGATCCCTGAAATTCTGGTAATACCAATGTTCACTTTGTCTGGTTTTGTTGCAGCATGCCCCATATTATGATCACATTAGGACCTTGGACAATTATAATTGAACTTGTATTGAGAAAGATGGGTAGTGATCTCGTTAAAACACCAGTCAGATCTTCAAGCATTTACATAATAAAAATTGGGTTTTTTAAAAATGGCCCAAAAAGGAAACTCACTAGCCATTTTTAGTAATATATTCAGAGTATTTTTATGTTTTCTTACATACCAGTTCAAATATAATTGTCCGAGGTCCTATCGCATTATTACAAATGACTAAGTTTTGATCCCTGAAATTATTGGTAATACCAATTACAATGTTAATATTAATTCGTAATACGAGACTCAAGTAGTGAAATTTGCCGATCATCATTAAATTTTCTGGTGATAATAATGACCAAAAGCAGAGAAATTACATATATGGACAGAGGGTTCGTTATAGAGAGAGTGAACTGTATTATGAATAA